ATTTCCATTATTTTATCAACATTTTCAACAATTGGCCTCCCGGAGCGTGATGTATCTTTGACATCAAAATTACCGGAACTGAATCGACGAAACCAAAATTACGCGTGCTGGCTCTTACAGTATCAGGACCATAAACACTATTCATATTTTTAGCCGCCTGGCTTGCGTTTTCGCCTTTATCGAAGAAAAACTGTAAAATATGGCGTATTTTCTCTTTGCTGGTGTCCATCTTTGATGCGTGCTCAAACAATACTGAGTCAAGCAATCACAAAACTGTCTGAGAGCTTTTTTTTGTACGAAATGTTATCTTTCTAACGCCATCTGGCGTAATCCGATCGGACTTATACAACGCGAGATACAGATTAGTAAAGCCCTCTATTGGAAAAATAATGGATTACTTTTTACTAGACCTAATATGTATATATATATATATATGTATATATACATTTGCTCAACAGCAATTAGAAGAAGTGAGACAAGTCGGCAGTTTCAAAAAAGGAACAATGATAAAGGGTCACAACGTCGCCGATATAGTCGTTATTCTTAAAACTCTACCGACTAAGACAGCAGTAGAAGCTCTTGGAAATAAGGTCAACAATGATTTGAAAACTGTAAACCCTAAGGAGATCTTCAGAGTGATACAAACAGAGCGAGGATTTGATATCGCTAATAACGAAGCTACTGTTCGTGTATTAATAACTACACTGCACCAAAATCTACGTAAACTGGAATCCGATCAACACTTGGATGTCAAAATATGTCAAGGTGGGATGTATCTTTAGTTTTCTTTTTTTGACAATCAGCTAATTTTGTTAATCGTTGGCAAAAGTATTTAATTTATTTTCATCTTTATAGGACATCTCGCTGCCATCAGACATTCTCGTTGGTTCGAGGAGAACGCCCATCATTCTAGTATCAAGGTCCTAATTCGACTACTTCGTGATCTTAGGAGCAGATTTGAAGGTTTGGAACCATTATCTCCGTGGATGCTGGATTTATTAGCGCATAACGCTATAATGAACAATCCCAGCAGACAAGCATTACCAATAAACCAGGCGTATAAGAGAGTGCTGCAGTTGCTCGCTTCTGGATTGTTTCTCCCCGGATCTGCAGGTATTTCATTACGTTCGCTCAAATTGATATTAACTCCAAAAAATATAACGGAATTAGTCTTTGCTTCGGATGTCTGAAACTTTTATTTTGTTCTTTTAATAGCGCCGAAATGTGAAATAACTAAATTTTTTCAGAAAGAGCATTCTTTAAAAAAATGTACTTTATATTTAAATCGATGATTATGTTCCAAACTATTGATGTCGAAAAATGAATATTTTTCAATATACAATATAATGTGAAATATCTCGTGAAGTATTGACTTTTCGATAGTTTCACCGTGATACTTTTTTTTTTTTTTTATATAGAATGATGGGTGACGTCGACTGTTAAAGAAAATACAAGGAATCTTTAAAAAAAATTTAATTGCATTTTATAGATGAAAATTATTACACACTGAAATCAATCAGTACACACACACACACACGCACAACCGTTATAAAATTATAAAATACTACTGTTCTATTATACAATTTCATTAATTTTCTTTCTATATATACGAGACGTGTACAAAAAATTCGTGCACTTAATTCACTAAAAATTTATTTTCATATTATTCTTGTACAGGAACGGGGTCACCCTCAAAGTACTTTATAATATCCTATCTTTTTGTGTATTTGTAAAGTTGATATAGAATTATCTGAAACGCCATATTTTATGATTTAGTGGTGCATAAAATCTTACAAAATAACAATGAACATGATGAGCAATGAAAAGCTTTTTATATTCGACAATGCATTTGGTATGAGTTCCAGCAAGGATAAAACCCTGCTAAACCATGTGAATCAATTTGTTCTGTTCTAAGTGAAAATAATGTATCTCATAATACATGCAAATATTGGTTTCATCGTTTTAAAGATGGTAGTTTTAACGTAAGTGACTGACCATGTTTTGGAATACCACGAAAATAGAAAACCGATGATTTGGAAGCGTTGTTGAATGAAAATCCATTACAGATACAAGAAGAATTTGTAGAACAGCTAGAAGTTGACCGAACAACAGTTTCAAGACAACTGCATAAGAAATTCAGAAACTTGGAAAGTGGATTCCGCATGAATTCTCGGAAAACAGCATTATCTGTTGTTTGAATATATGCATATCATTACTTTCCAAGCACTGTAAGAAAGATTTTTTGTAGCATATAGTTATTTCTCTGTATTGGCGCTACACAGCTCAAGTTTGAGCCTGGGCCTACTTCTCTCTTTGCATATGCACGTGGTGCGCACTCAGATTGTACACATGCATATGGGACTTACAGTTTAACCCTTTTAGTGCCGGGAGCCGATATATCGGCTCCTGCTACACCGGCGAGAAGTGCCAGAGCCGATATATCGGCCCGCACCTTGTAGCGCTTTACTATTCGCATTGCGAGAGATCTCTATCAAAATAAATTTAAAATACGTTATAAATAGTCTAATTTCATTACGAGAGAATTAAAATAAATAATTTTTAAATATTGCTTTTCGTTTGGTTTTTATGAGCCTTTTACCAAATCCTAGTAAAATCGGCCGGTTATCTTCGCATAAGCACCTCTTTTTCGCCCGGCACTAAAAGGGTTAAAGCCGGTTACGAACGGTAGTTGGGGAGAAGTTTTCTTGGCATGTGGTTATTCTTGGTGGTTTGCCAGACCACCGAAGAGGAGCTACGAGCGTATGAAAATTTTTCTGGTTCTGCCGGGGATCGAACCCGGGACTTCTAGCATAGTAGACTGGTGCTGTCTACCATGTCACACTCGCGCTCTCATATAGTTATTGGAAACGAAAAATGGATCCTATATGACAATCCTCAATGCAGGATTCATGGGCAGACCTCGGCTATCTATATCAGTAGCAAAACCAAATATTCATATTAAAAAGGTTCTTTTATGCATCTGATGGAGTATGAAAGATGTGTTCTATTATGAACTCCTTAAACAGGGTGAAATTATTAATGCTGAACGCTATTGTTGACAATTAAATCATTTAACCGATAAAAAAAAAAATAGAAGAAAAAAGGTCAATTTACTGGTGGGAAAGTCATTTTATTATACGATAACGCTAAGCCGCATGTTGCTTGAGCTACATTCAACAAAGCTTGAGCTGAGAAGTTCTTCTACACACTGCGTATTCACCTGACTTAGCGTCTTTGGATTACTATTTATTCCGGTCGATACAGAATGCTTTAACCGAACAGTGTTTTTGAGATGTGACAGAGATATGAAAATGGCTCGACAATTTCATTACTTCTAAACCGATGTTTTTTCACAACGGAATCCGAAACTTGTTAGAAAGGTGGCAGAAGGTGTACGAGGTCTGTTCAAAAAGTATCGCGAATTTTGTGTTTTTTCAA